CCTTTAAAATAAACAATGGATTAAAGTCTAGAATTCTAAAAAGAAATCTTTCAAATTAATAAGAGAAAGAAATCTAATAGGAAGATAGACATAGGATTTAGGCATGCATTTCACACAAAAGAAATGCAAGTTGTCAGTATTCAAATGAAAAAAATCTTGAGCCTCAATCAAGAGTAAAGAAATGCAATTCAGAACAGCTTTCTAGTTTTCAACCATCAGTTTGGCAAAAAAGGAAAAGACTGATGACACCCAGTACTGCTGGTTGTTCAGGAAGACAGATCCCCTTCTTCTAGGACTGGATTTCTTTGGAGGGCCTGAAGTTTTCTGTGGTCTGCCCTCGAGTCAGCTCTCCATGTGGAGGGCTCTGTCCGACAGAAAGACACATGCACGGCAGGCTGCTGGCACAGCCGAGCTTGTGTCTGCCAGCCAGGAGGTAAGCTTCAAAGTCCCCTCTCACCCCTGTCTCAGTCAGAATCAAGGCTTTAGAGAGGTTGTTAACAGAACCTGGGAGGGACGCCTGCTTCCACTGAGACCAGCTGAACTGAGGAGCCCATCCTGAATCTAACATACACTTTTTTTCTTTGAAATAAATTCAAACTTACAGGAAAAGTTTCAAAAAATAAGAATAGTACAAAGACACAGATTTACCCTTTACCCAGATTCACTGTTGTTAGTATTTCACTGCATTTGCTGGATCACTTCTGCAGTCTGTCTTCACAAATGCACACACGTACACAAGAACTTTTTTTCTGAACCCTGTGAAGATAAGTTACATACAATGTGGCTCTTGATCCCTAAATACTTTAATGCGTATTTCTTAAAAATAGGAATATTTTCTTGCTTTTAAGCACAACATAGTTACCAGCATCAGCAAATTTAACATTGGTACAGTACTCTACTGCCCATGTGCACGTGTCATCAGTGGACCAGATAATGTCCTTTATAGCACCTCCCCCCAGTGTAGGGTCCAGTCTTGAGCTGGGTGTTGTGTTTAGTTGCTGTGTCTCTTTAAACACCTTTAAATTTGGAACATTTTCACAGCCTACCTTGTCTTTTATGACGTAACCATTTTTTTCCTTTTTTAAAATAGAACTTTCATTTTGAGTTTGATGTTTCCTTGAAATGACATCAGGTCAAATTACATTCTAGGCTGGATCGCTGCATAGGCGGAGTGTCTCCTGGACATCACATCCAGAGGCCCACAGTAGCTATCTTTCCCTTATTGATGATGTTAATTTGATCACCCAGTCAAGATGCTTTCCAGCTTCTCCTCTGTACAATTCCTGTATTTTTCCTTCCTTGCAGCTAGTAAGCAGTTGGGAGACACTTTGAGGCCATGTAGTTATCCTGATCAGAATTTCCCCCTAGATTTAGTATCGATTGATTTTTTTACCCAATCCAATCTTTATACATCATTTTCATCCAGAGTCCTTAGTTTACATTAGGGTTTACTCTTGAGGCTGTATGTTCTATCAGATAAGATTTTTGAAGTGCTATGCAAAAGAGACTTTTTAAAAGCCAAAAAGATCATTTTGTCGACTTAATCGATAAGAATAACTCCCTGCAGCATCATGAGAAAATTAGTATTCTTGCTTCAGGGCCTTGAAGAACAGAATATCAGTTACTCAGCTAAACTGAAAACTAGAGGAATGACTTTATAATCTTTATTCCCCAAAGACATTAAGCAAAAAAGACTTAATTCTTTTGCTGTGTAATTGTGCGTGTGGCTTGGGGTATGTTGGTTGGGCAGATAATAGATTTCTGTTGGGGGAGAGGCTAAGTGGAAAAACATCTCCTGCCGGTTCTCAACAATATAGGGTACTTTTGAAACTGAAATTTTCTGACTGGCTGCTTTGGGAATCATCTGCTTGTTTCTTTTTCATTTGAAATACTTAATTGGGCACCTTCTCCAGGCCAAGTGGACTCTGCCCTGTGGAATTCCAAGCAGAGAGCTGGAGTTCAGGTGGCTTCCAGCAGGGAGTGCTGCCTGGAGGAAGTGTCATTTTCCCCTCCTGTATCACTCCCGCCTGCTTTCTGGGAAAACTCTCAAAGAGGGGGTCTGGGGACAATAGCAGCCTCACACCAAGAAGGACCCCAAGAGTAGATGTGGCAGCCTGAAAGATGAACCGAAAACAGTCTGTGCCTCTTTGCTAACAGGAAGTCACTGCTGTAGAGAGCTGACCTGGGCCTGTGAAGGAGCCTTGGGGGTTTGGAGACGTAACCATGTAGTAGGTGCCGAGGCCCCCTGGACAGTGAGGCTGAACAGAACAGAGTCCGAAGCTGAGAGTATGGAGGGAGGCTGACTGGAGGTGGGACCCTGGTGAGGAGTGGGGGTCTGATGCAGTGAGGACCTGAGCTGGGGGCACACAATGAGGATAGAAAGGGGGCTTGTTTGGTGATATCTGACAGGAGCATGAGAGAGGAGGGGAGGACTCCCAGCTGGCTTGGGTTTTGAGACTGGTTGGCTCAGCTGTCTGAGAAGATGTCTAAGTTAGCAACCGTCAGACAGAGACTCTGGCAGGCTGGAGGGTATTTGGGAGCGGAGCTAGGAGGAGGAGAATCTAAAAGAATGTTTTTGGAGTCAACCTTGTTTGTCAAGGAAAAGAAAAAGGGAAGGAGAAAAGAAACGAACTTACAAGGAGAACCTTTTCAGGAAACAGGAAAGGGATACTGAGAGCAAAGATACTGGGTGCAGTGGTTATTCGTCTGCTTGAGAAAGTGTCAGAGGAGGTTGGACGATGGTTGCCGAGACCCCTCCGGCCCAGTTCTTGTTCCCTTCACCTCTTGCAAATTAAGGACTTCTGGGCAGGGTAGAGGCGCTGGTCTGAGAGGCTCTTTGAAATGTAAACTGCTCATTGCAGATCAAGGGGAAACCTTTCTGTGGTGCTTCTTCCAGTTAATACTTGTAAAGCCCTAAAAACAGTGCCTGGAACAGAAATGTCGGCTATTTCTGTTGCTGTCTTTTAGCCAGGAAGCAGGGTTATCTTGGAGGAATGAAGGTTGCTTGACCCTGTAAAAAGTGTCAGAAGGCATGGGTCTGGTGAGATGCATTGGAGGCCAGCGTTAGGCTTTTATTGCTATAAAAGCTGCAAAGAATTTTGGACCGTAGACTGGAATGGCAAGCTTACAGTTCTCAGTAATTTCTCGTGTCTTATTTAATTTTTGCTAACGTCTGTCATTTTTGCCAAAGGAACTATCAGTGAAACTCCTAAATGAACCAAGGTATTGTGTCCTTAACTTTGCGACAACAGGGGAGAGAGGGAGGCTGCTGGAGTGACTTGCTCTCACCATACAGCTGCTGCAGGGAAACCCCCTGGAGGGGCCGTGGGGGGGGGAGCGGCGACTGCCCACTGGAAGCAAATGCAGCCTGCCTGCCTACAGGCAGGAGCTGATGGGCCTTTGAAAGGGAGCGAGGGAGAGGCAGCGAGGGCCGTGTGGGGTTTGCTGACCAGGGTTCCACGGTGGCAGTGTGTCCTTAGAAGATTATGTAATGGTACCTTAAAATGTGTGCAGGAGCCTGCTGTTGACACCAGTCCAAGGAAGCTTTGCTAACATGCTTACAACCCTATCATTTAGCCCCTTTGAGTCTTAACAGTTTAATAATTGAGGGTTTCCATAAGGCAGAGAACACCTGTACAGTTTTATGTTACACTAATATACCAGTGTATCAGGTGGCTGTTTTTGTCAGAAATCTCTCATTGGAATAAATAGATACTGCAAGTGTTTGAAACAGGAAATCATATGTTGGACCAGCATGCAGTTTCAGTGGATGGTTTTTATCCATCCAGCGTGTTCACAAATAAATAGGGTTGAATTGAGGAAAAGTATGGTGGTTTTATTCATTACTTGGATGCTGTTATTGTTTATGTAAAGAAAAACTCAATTCTAGTCCAGCAGTGAGTGCAGTGACCTCTCTGGGTCTCTTGCATCCGTCCCATAGCATCTTGTCTTGTGTCCTGAGAGTGGTGCTTGTCCTAAAGGGGCCTTCGCTGTCTGCACGCAGGTCAGGACCCTTTGAAGTACGAGCAGACCTAGAGGAGTCCATGGAGTTTGTGGATCCAGGAGTTGCTGGAGAATCAGACGAGAGTGGAGACGAGCATGTAAGTGATGAGGAAACTGACCTGGGCACAGACTGGGAGAACCTGCCAAGCCCCCGGTTCTGTGACATCCCTTCCCAGCCTGTGGAGGTCTCCCAGAGCCAGAGCACCCAGGCGTCCCCACCCATCGCAAGCAGCAGTGCCGGAGGGATGATCTCCTCGGCCGCGGCCTCCGTCACCTCCTGGTTTAAAGCTTACACTGGACACCGTTAATAAGCAGGGACCAAGACACACCAGATCTGCATCGAGAAGGTTCTTCCTCCACTATGCTCTAGGAAATGTTACGTGTTTAGTTAAGATAGTGCCTGGAACAAAAAGAGGTTGTTATACTGTTGGGTTTTTTAAAGCAGAGAAACAAGCATTTCCCTTTGTCAAATGGCAAACGGTGGTGACTGGGGTGCTGATGGTAATTAACAGGACAGAGGGGTCCCAGGTCCTTTCCAGACCAGCGTGGCCAGTAGTGTTGAGGCAGAAATGCACTTGGGCTCCTCTGATCACAGGCCACGGGCCCCACAGACATGGCTGACACGTTGGTCCCTGTGAAGCTGAGACTTTATTTTAGAGGTTGAATCACGAGGAAGTGATTCTTGATCATTAGGACTTGAAAGATAGAAAACTGTTATGAGTTTGTTTTTATGCCATTATTTTCTGTACAGAGAACCACAGGCAATTTGAAACACTTGATTTCTTTATGATTTGGTCACATTTGTTTTTTAGGTCAAGGGCTTTTTTGTTTTGTTTTGTCTGGAAGGTGTGATGTTTTCTTGGCGGGGGAAACGTAGTTTACAAATGATTTCACTTGTGCTGCTGTCACGGCCCGTCAGACATTCCTGTTTTCTTTCTCCCTACACACCAAAGAAACCAAGATCTTTTTTTCTTTAGGACCCACATCCGTGAACAGAAAAAATCCTAGCTGCAATAATGTCCTAGAGATCTTAAAACAATGTTCTTTAAATTTTCTTACCTAGACTGTTGAATTCCTACCATCCACACTATGTGTATTTTGAAATTGAACTTGTTTTCCAGGAGTGGCAAATAAGTCATTAAGGTTGTTCCCTTATGGAAGCTAAATGCCTGCCTGGGCACTGGTTAAAAGCCACTTAAATGACCTCTGGTCATTCTTCTGGTGTCCAGTTTCTTTCTGAAGCCTTTAGTAGGTGGCAGGTTTTTCCAGGGAAAACCACCCTGCTTGTTTGTTTCCTAGAGGTCTCTGTTGCTCTGTGGACACTACCTTTGCTCAGATGTGCAGAGCAATTCACTGAGGCTGATACTGCTCTCCTCCATCCTGGGAAATCTCCGATGGAAAGAATTTTCCCTCACCAAGAGATCATTTTCAGCTGATGTGTCTTCTCATTCTCTTAGTGACAATCTTATAAGAAAACTGTAGAGAGGCATTATGTACAAATATGTAAGTAGTTTTTATTTTTAATAACTGCAGAGAAAGTCCTATGTAACAACTACAAAAAGAAATCCTATGAAAAATTCCTAACAGGCATTATTACTATATCTTGTTAGTGTGATTAGCATGATAGTACCTCAGATGAATCACTTGGAGGTTTGCCCTGCCCTCGCTTCTTTTCTCCTTGTAATTAGACTTGATACTTTGCCTCCAAATCCGAGGTGCTACAGCTCTTGCTATTGGATAGTTAGTGTTTGGCAGAATTGCAGAAGAAGGGTGTTTACTCCTATCCAGGAGTCCCAGTTCCCTGACTTGATGAATTTTTCACTTCGGAGGAAACGGGCTTTTCCCCTCGTGGGTTCTCACACAGCTGGTATCAGCTTTAAGCGCTCACTTCATGACTGCTGGGTTTCATTGTTCCCCCCAAGTCTGTAGTGTAGTTCATAGACAGTGGCTGTGGTGGACTTGAACAAATAAATACCAAATGAATTTAAAATCCCAGGAGATAAGAGGGACTTAGGCACTTCAAACCCTCAGAAAGAAGAGCTTAGATTCAAGAGTTGGAAGACTGGGATTTGGGGCTTGTGGGTAGAGGATGACTTAAGCTGAAAGATGCCCGACAGTCGTGGTTTTTCCCAAGCCTCTTACGAAACCATGAATGTGAGATGAAGCTGAAGAGCAGACCCAGACATCACAGACTAGAGTAATTCAACAAAACTCACGAGGACATGGGAAATGCAGGGACAGATAGGGTATATTTTGTTAATATCAACTAGAGGCACTTTACTTAGGGTTCAGTCAAACCTTCAGTGGTTCTGAACACCAACATACTGGCTTACACTGCTGAGATAGTTTGGTTTTCATTATTTTGCACTGGATCCACCCTGTAAATATTCTTAAAATACACATTTCAACCACTGTTTTTTCTACTCTCTTTGCTGCTCATTAAAATCTTTCATGTAGGTGCCAGAACCATATGTAAACAGCTTTTTAATAAATTGAAGCTGGTATTTTTTTTCAAACAAAAAGCCATAGAACTTGGTTGTGTTTTCCATAATAAAATGATTTGTTGAAACAAGGTAATACTAAAAAAAAATTCATAGGCACCAGATAGGCTGCTTAAAATAGTCTGTTAAAGACTTTTTTTGTAATAGAAGATAATTAAGAAAAGTTTTGCACATCTGTAACTTAAGGGAGAAAACAGTGTCAGCATTGAGTAGCGGACAGGATTCATTTCAGGATTCTTGTAGTGATGATTTGGGGAAGAACGTTTGGTGGCATGCTGTTAAAAGAACTACAGTGTCCAAGAATCTCTTCGCTGGGCCATGTTGCAGGGAGCCCCCATTGCTCTGCAACTTCCAAACCAGTTTGAGTCATAAAAATGTTTTCTAAACTTTTATTGTATTATTGCAATAAATCTTTTAACAGTACTTTGAAAATATGTATGTCTTTTTAAGCTCCGATTACTCATTTCTACTGATAAACTGAGGACAGCAAGAATAAGATCTAACTGTGGAGTATTTTATACAACTTACAGAATAATTTTTTTTGACAGGTTTTTTTTTTTTGGCCAGGTAATAAAAAATGCCTGTTAACACTCTCTTTAAAATTATAGATCATGGGTGTATTAAAACTTACGGTCCATCTTAAGTAAGCCAAAAACCAGTTGCTTACCAGTTACTTTCTCTAAAGATGCATTTTTCTTTTGTAGCCATTATGTGATGCTGGTGTCCAACAGTGACTTCTGTTGTCTTGCAACAGCCCTTTGAGAGAGGGGTGTGGCCTCTGGGTTGACCATATGGAATCTGCCTAGGCTTTCTTCAGGACAAGAAAGGGAAATGTTAGAGGGGATCTGTCAAACTGAAAGGAGAACAGAGCAGCTTTAGAGAATCCCTCCCTTTTTTCCTTTTCCTTTTTTCTTTTTTTTTGTCTCCCCAAAGGTGGATAATCTGTACCTTTCAGGCTAGATGATGATGGGGAGGAGCCACATGCAGGTGGACGGGGCCACTAAGAGTGGTTATTACTGTGGGCCCTCCAAGACAACGCCGAGAAATGCCAAGAAACTGTTGCCGTGGTCGTCCTGCTCCTTCACCTGCAGGAGGAGACCAGCCAGCAGCAGCAGAACAGGCCAGGGAACTGAAGGGTTTCCAAACAGGGCATGTGCCTCTCGGTGAGTCCTTCAGTCTCCGTGGGTAACAGTTAAAAACATGCTCCTGTCTAGTGTATGCACACAGGTTCCCAGTGCTCAGAGTTACTTCATGATTGATGCAGGAATCAGGTTGAAGCAGATGAAAGAACTAATGATCACTTTGTGCTTAGTGGTTGGGAGGTCACTTGAAAATTGCTTCAACAAAATGAACTAGGGAATTTGACTTTTGGGTAAGTCATCTGAACTTCAGACATGAAACATTAAATGAGAGAAAGCTACCAACACCCCATTCCAAGGAGATGGTGAAAAAATATCCTGGAAAAGGGTTTACCATCTCCCTAGAGTTACATAGATGAAGTGGAATTTTTTTTTTAAACCAGAAACCACCAGTTGGGACCATTTTGTCTAGAAGAAAAGGGATGGTAAAACAGCAAGGGCCACATCAGTGACTTTTTGTTGTGCTTTTTATAGGAGGGAGTGAGGGGTGGGGTAGTCTGTGGTGGGGAGAAAATCTGATGGACAGTTTGGTCCCTTTAAAAAGTGAGAAACAGGCAAGAAGGTATCTGACAGCACTGGACAAGTGTGGAAAGATGGGCAGCAGCCAGAGGAGTGGAAGTAGCTCAGTCATGAGGGCACTGGTACCGCCAGGTCCATATCAGATTGTTCATTATCTCCCCCTTTGGGGTGGCTTTTTAGCATTTACTGTGTGACTTCAGAAGACACCTGGATTTTGAGGAAAAGGCTCTCCTACCTTTTCCAGCAACTTATTTCCCTAAATTCAAAACATTATCAGGAAAACATTTCTAGAGTATAAGTACATGACTCTTGATTTCAGAAAGAAAGTGCCACGTGGTTTGGAAGTAGTAGGTGGGAGAGACAGACTGCCCAATCCAAGGTTGATTAACATGATAGATGGGGTATTACCTTCCATGTTAACAATTTAATATAGTTGCCTTCAGAGTAGAACCACATCTAGCACCCACCCACAGGGGGAAAATACACCTTATTTTCTGGTTGAAGGGCATTGATACTGGTTTTAGTTGCGAGTTCAGCTACCACTTTGATAGTCTTTGAGGAAAAGCATGCTAAGAGCTGGAAAGCTCCTGCATTAAGTCTCTGGTACACCATGCCCCAGACCCATTAGCTCCTAAATTTCTCTGGAGCCTTGCGACTACTCATGGTGTGGTCCCTGATCCTGCAGCACTGGCATCACCCAAGAGCTTGTCAGAAATGCAGGATCTTGGGCGCCATTTTTGACACACTGGGTCATAATCATTCCAATAATTCATTCCAATAATTCATATGTATATTAACATTTTTAAAGCATTGGATCTATAGCAGTGCTGTTCAATGTAGTTATTTAACCCACCCATGTCATTGTAAACTTCCCGGTAGTCTCATTAAGGAGGTAAAAGGAAATAGGTAAAATATATTTTTATATTTTAACTCGACACCCCAAAATAATATTTCACATGTAATCAATAAGTAAAGTATAAAGTTGGGGGGGAAGGGGCTGCAGGAGGGTTCTACTTGTATTCTTGCCCTGGGCCACAAACATACTGGGGAGGGCTTGCCCCTGTGTCTACACCCTTTAAATAAACCCTCCTTGAATTTGCTCTTTTGGAGTGTGTCAGCAGTTTCCTGCTGAGTAGGTGTGTAATAAAGAGCCTCTGCAGAGCACACACTGGAAGCAAGTTGAAGGGCCTGAAACCAAGACTACTGGCCTTGGAAATGGAAAAGGTCATGCGAGAGGGGTCCCAGGTTGGATGCCAGGGCAGCCAGGACACCATCTCTGCTTAGAAAGAAGAGTCCATCAGGGCTGGGGTGGAAGGAGGATTGTTCATGGCAGGTCATGCACACGGAATCGTGCTTGGCTGCCCACACAGGAGGCCAACAGTTCAGTCCCAGAACAGGGAAGCTGGGCAGGCCAGGCCTGGCTCCACTGGACTGCAAACACTCAGTTATACCAATGGGCCATTTCCCCTCATGATGGATAGGGGACTAACACGATTAGATACAACCTTGCTCTACATTTTACTGGCCAGCAACTAATTGATTTTGAGTCCGGTTTTTGAAAAGCTGCATTGACCTTTTCAGATTACTTAATAGACATCTGAAAATACCAGTTTGTAAAGCAACAGTCTTAGTCTCTGATTTGGGGGTAGGGAGTGGACAGAAAGGGAAGTAATTTAAATAGCACAATGAGTCTGCCCCAGTCAGCTGGGAGCTGGGATCTGTTGTTCCCCAAGTCTTACTGTTGTTCCCCAAGTCTTAGTTTCTGCACAGTGCTCATCACTCAGCAATAGCACATCCTCTTACAGGACTTAGCATTTCCCACCACTCGACACCACGTGTATCATTCTCTACTGGACGGGTGATGGACACGTAGGACTTCAAGAGTCATTGCAGCTGTAGGCCATTTTCCCCCTAAATGCTAACTTTAGAACCTAATTCCTGCTGTGTTGTATCATTCCAAAGAGAAAAGCAAAACATTTAGTAGAGTTTACTAATTTTAAATTTTTTATAGCTCAAAAAGAATCTTAAATCCAAGAATTTGAGATAAAGGGTCCCAAAACTAATTGTTTTGAGGCCTGTTCTCTGATAACTAGAGAGAGGATTGGGGGGGGCGGCTTTGAGGGGAAGAGTTTCATTTTGCTTTTTAAACAGGAACACCACCTCTCACCAGGGTTGCTGCAGTGCAAGAGCCATCTCTCTGCTCCCACTCCCTTCCCAACTACCAACTCCAGTGTCTCTGCTCCTCCAAAATAAGACGGTCAAACAAACCGCCTAGAATAGGGCTGCTGTCTAACTGTGGTTTGGCTTAAATCAATTAGGTGTAAATACACTGGAAGTCCCCCAAGGTTTCATAACCACAATGATGTTTGCTCTTCCCATGAGGTTATGCAAACACCAGCTATGGCCACAAACTGAAGTGCGTGTCGATAGAAGGGACTGCACATTTCCCACAAAGGTACTTTCACCAAGTCATGGAGATTGCAACACTAGCTTGAACCCAAAGGAAAAGCCAGGAGAGAAACTGTTGGATTCCCCAGGTGCTAGATGCTGTTCACAGCAGTGAACACTTTATGTAAATGCAGCACGTACCTGACAGATGACATCAGCTCTCGCTACTGACGCAGTGTGCAGTGTCCGGCGGTGCTTTGGCGCAGACTGGATTTATTCTTTTTTTTTTTTGAGGCCAGATGTGGGATGCAAGAGAGGAGGAATAGCCAGTCTGCTGAGTAAAGAAAGAATGAGGGCTATTAAAGCCATGGAAAACACCCTGGAAGACCCACGTAAGAAAAACAGTGCCCTGGGGGTCTGTAAAGGTTGGCAGGGAGGCCTTGACAAGTCCAGGTTAGAAGGGTGGTGGCCAGAGTGCAGGAAGAGACATCCTAGATCACGTGTAGCCAGCAGCTGACAGCCCCTGCAGCCTTTCTGCAGTGAGAAAGCCCAGAGCAGCCTGCTGCCAGGGAAGCCACCGGCATAGACAGCCCAGATGACATCAAACGCACAACTGACAGTTACCCAGCAAAACTGGGCTGCTGTGGGAGCGACTCTAACCAAGAAAGCTCCCATGGGACCAGCTGTGGCCAGAGGAAAAGATCATCTCAGGTCCCTTCATCCCCTCTTCACATTTCTCACACTAGATGGAAAATTTACAGCAGAGCCCAGAGCAATCAGAACCTGCCAGCACCACTCACGTCAAGATGATCACTAGAGAGGAATACAAACATTTTATGGAGCGTGCACTTTGAAGAAGGTACTGAAGGGATGGCATGACAGAGCTGCCCTCCTTGAGCCCAGAGTGAAGTGGACAGCAAGCCTCATACACAAAAGGGGCAGTGGCGGTAGATGTGCACAAGGTACCAAAAAAGCATCCAGCCAAACAGGGTAGGCAGGAAGGGTGGGGGCTCTAAGGGAAGCGCCTCCTGAGCACAGAGCTATCAGCGTAGGAGGGCAGGGGAGGTGGTCAACTGAACAGTCCTTTTACATGGCCGCTTTAATGCCACAGTCATTTTGACAAGGCTCACGGAAAGTTTTAATCTTGGCCTTTTTCCCATTTCCAGTTCGTCCCTGCCTTGGACATCTGGTCTCATCCACTGAGCAAGGGACAAAGCCAAGCTGCCCAAGCGATGGGATGGGGTGAGGAGCTGCTGACTCCTCCACATTTTCTCTCGTTTTTCTTTCAAATGGTGAAGTGAGGGGTGGGAGAGAGAGACTAGACCAAGCATATCAGAGCCTCAGAGCAAAAGCTGAAGGGGAGGTTTTCTTTATTTGGGTCC